TTTCCTTCCCACCGGGGTGTTTAAAAGTCGCCGCATCGCCCACCTCCCGCGCCGCGCCGTGCACCGCCCACCTCTCGCGCCATGAGCTCAAAGTGGATGCAGCCCACGGACCAAAGGTCCACGGCCTGCATTCGGAGAGCCAGCGGAATGCGCGCGACTCATTCGGCCCGGGTTTCACAGCCAGGTTGACCCATTTTTAAGGGACCTAGGGTCCAAGGCTCACTCTTGGGGGGGGGTCTTGAGCAATGTGGCGGAACCTAGGCTCGAAGGCGATCATTCTGGCACACCTAACATGCTCATCACGCAGCTTCTCCTTTGGCAGTGGGGTTCTTGTGCAAGGAGACGGCTTGAAGCAACACGCTTCTCAATGTCCCTCCCCATCCGTGCCCCTCCGGTGCTGTACCTCGAAATACCCGAAGGGCAGCAACCTCGCCAATCAGAAAGCGGCAACTGGGCTTGTTTTCAAACAGGGCAGCCTGCAAAGGGGTAGTTTTGCGTGGCAGTCCTTCCAAACCATCACCAAATACTGTTTGCTAAGTAAAAACAAAATGCGGCGTCTTGAAAACATGTTCCTCATTTTGGCCGAACGCCCTCAACGAACGACACCCCCATCTTCTGGGTGCTCGTCTGAGACAGCCACATGAGCTCCGGGGCGCGGTACCAACGTGTCACCACATAGTCAGTGAGTGCCTCCTGAAAAAAAAAAGACGGCTCAAGCTAAATGAACATGTGAGGCATAATCAAAGCCCTTATTAAAATGGTCCACCCAGGACCAATGTAAAGAACTAAGAAGGCGGCCGCAGCTATTTATGGTTGGGATTGACCCGGGGTTTGACTGGCTCATGTGTGATACAAGTTATATGGCTGTGTCGACCTTTTAGTGGACCCTCAAAACAGTGGTTTCCTCGTACTGCCCCTTTAAACCGACAAACAAAGAGGTACCCTAAACGAATCAAAACCCATGTATTTGTTGTTTTCATGAGATTGAGATATTTGCTTCGACATGCCTTGCTCGAGCCTCAGAATTGGAACGCCCTCGCGCCAGGCCGAAGTCGGCAATCCTCAAGGAGCAATCCTGGCCAGCAAAACATCTGGCAGCGCTCAAAATTCACCAGGCGCGACTGCAGCAAGAAAGTCAATCAGCGTCCTTGTTCACTAGGATGTTGCTGGGCTTGAGGTCACGATGAGCCACTCCCGCAGAATGAAGGTACTGGTTCGTTCAGTGAGTGACAATCCATGCACAAGTTCACTGGAAACCAAAGATGCCGCGGTTCTTTCAATCCCCTCGGTCTCCTTCAGTCCTCTGAGGATTTGGCACACAAACGCCTGGCAGGATGCACATCACCTCAGCCTTGCTCACTTGGGAATATGTCACAACCGAGCACTTCTCCAAATGCAGTCTCTCATGCTACTTTCCAACTTCAACGAAAACCTGAATGAAGGCTGACATTTCCTGCCTGGCAGTGGGACTCGGAAAGCTTCATCTTGGAATAGATGACCTTAGGCAGTCAAGGAACCTCCGGAGCAAATGCGAGACGAATTCCTGACCAAAACCACGAGATCAAACCACGCTGAGGTGCTGACTCGGTGCAGGTCTAAATGCAAATACGGCCTCAATGGCGGCCAGGTCTGCAGCGTTCTCCAAAACATAAGCACCGCCTCCCCGTGCTGATTTGGTGCTTTCTTGGTGGTGGGTCAAAAAAGAAAGTAGCCAAAAGAACGGTTGCCCTGGAAAATGGACACATGGACCACATGGACTAAAATATGCGGGCCAATTCCTGGTGCACGGCATTTTTGTTGTTTTGACTCATGCCGTATGACTCATACCCATTTGATTTGCTACGGCACATCGTCCGAGCGCAGAGCATAACAATGTACACATCGTCGAAGTCCGGGTCCGGCACTGGGAGCAGATCCATCAACTGCCACGCGGGCTTTGCATCAAAGAAATCATCTCACAAGCTCACCAAATCATCTGAGGGTTGCTCAAGGGTTCAAGCACACGCAGGTTTTAATCTTTGGTTCCATTTACCAGGGCAACCCATTTTGGGGTTACCCTATTTTTGACCCGTAGCCATCTGCTTGAACCAACCCTCGTCCAAGGCGCCCTCAACAGATTCTCGTGCCGGAGCGCAGCCAAAAGCCGAATCCTTGGGACGCGCCAAATCTCATGGTGTGCTTCATTGTCCCATAAACTACTAGGAAGCTGGCTCCCGTGCCAAAAACAACATGTCAGGTCATCGCAAAAAAAAACAAATCAAGTAAATTGTAATAAAAGAGAAAGAAAAAACACTGGCCCCTGAACAAATATTCTAGGTACCGGGTCCTGCCCTCTGAACACAGTGACCAGCTCCCTCCCTCCCCGACCAATCAATGCATCTGAGCCCAGAGCTCACGCAGGATCCGCTTGCCACAAAGCGGGTCTTTGGTAAAGTCCCTGATCCACTTCACTGCGACCTCAGCCCAACTCCATGGGGCTCGACACCAAAATGGCCACCCAAATGCAGAAGAGAAAAACCTTGATTCACCATTGTGAAAAGATTCAAGGGTTGACTTCTTCATCTCACAGCTAACTTCATGTGAGCATGTCACTATGATCTCTGCGTGGGTTGGCTCCATGAACATCACCGGGGAGTCCGCTTGCGTTCCGTTCCTCGAATCCTCACAGAGGTAAACCTGGCAACGGGCAGGTCGCAGCTCCTCCCGATTTTGATTCTCCAATGCCAATGAGTGGTGGGGCCCCAATCGCAGAATAAAATTGAAAGGATTGAAAGGGGCTGAAAGATAGCAAATCAATTTGGAATCCCAAGCTTTCAGATTTCCCCTTGCACTATCAGCATATGGTTGTGGGTCAAAAATAAGTAGCCAACAAGGAGCCCTGGTAAACGGACACATGGACCAAACTATGCGGTCCCCTGGTGGGATCCTTACATTATACACCTGAACATTGCCTTGTCAATAGTCGTTTCCCTTTGTTTTGGCGCAAAAAGCCATGTTTCAAATGGGCAAAATGTATCTTTTAAGGAGCCCTGGTTACCAGCAAGTCAGAATGCTCAAATCCCGGCCTCGCCATACGCTCCGCTGCCCAGCTTCTGGATTGCGGTCCTTGGCACTGGCCCGCAGCTGTGGGGCTGCGAATCATACACCCGCAGCAGCCGAAATGGGTATGGGTCAAAAAAACAAAAACAGGGGACCGCAGGTTTGAGTCCTTGTTTTCATTTACCATGGGTCCATTTTGGGTGCCTATTTTTGACCCACGCCCAAATGAAAAAGCGAAGGGTCACCCGCAGCTGCCAGGGCCAAGGGTGCGCAGCTAAGGCCTTGACAAGTGCGATGGCAATTCAATGCCCTTCCGCTCCTGCAGCCAGTCTCTTAGTGCACTTCTGCATATGTGGGTCAAACATATGTAACCAAAATGGGTTGCCCAGGTAAATGGAAACATGAACTAAACCTGCGGTCCAATTCCTGGTGGTTTAATTTTGACCAATACCCAAGTCTCTCAGTACAATGCTCTTGTGCACTGCATTTTCATCTTCCCTGCCTGGGAAGCAATGTCGACACTTGCCCTCAGCGAGCTAAAAGCATGTGACCGCAATCAGCGTGACTCGCCACCACTCGCTTTCTTTGATTGCCGCCATACTTTTTGCCGGCTTGGTCAAGGGTTCACACAATTGCAACCCACATTGAAGAGCATCTCCTTATTCAGCACTGGCTGGCTCTAGTCCAAATGGTCATTCATATTTTGTTTCTGACATGTGAATGATGTATATGTATATATGCATATATACATATACACATACAAATGTATATATATATATGTACACATACATACACATTTATTATCACTATTATGTCATTCTTACTATGGCTAGACACATTGTTCTGTTATACATAGAAGTGCCTCCAAAACCAGGTCCAGCAAAGATCACTGTCGATTGAGTCACGGGCACATCGCCCGCCATTCGGCGTGACGAGGCAAAAGGGGCGGTTTCCGCCTTGGAGCTGAGACACCTCCCTCTGCTCATGGGGCTGGCCTTCTTTTCCGGGTGCCCTTTTTTGGGGGTTGCTTTTTTGTTTTGGGGAAGCCAAGAGGAAAACCACATTGTTTGGGGGGGGTCCCTAAAGAAGGACATGCCAACGTGCTCTTGCCAACTTTGTTTTCAGGTACCTTTTTTGGGGTTGGACTGTTTTAGGGAATACAAGAGGAAAACAAGCTCATGTTAAAGACTCCCAAAGCGTAGCAGAACCGGAAGACGCCAAGGGCGCGGCCTCTATGCTCCGGGCTCTGCTCACCCGTCTACGACTTGATCCACATAGCATGCACCCAGCAAGGAGACACAGGTTGCAAGGGACTAGCTCACTTTGCACACGCGAACTTATAGAAAACTTTGTTTCGCAAGTCGACAACCCTCAATCTCAACGTTGGAGCGCTGCGGCAGTGACAGCAACATTGAAATCAAACTGGACCAGAGATGTTTGACAATCAAGAGACCATCCAAGTCAAGCATATTCTGCAAGGACGGAACAATATGTGTAGCATTTTTAGCAATGATTCATTGCCTGTTCTAAGTTTGGCATGGCTCGGCTCTGATCTCAACCACCTGTAACCTTTACAGGGCCTTGGAGCGAATCGATTTCACAACGTCACATTTAACCAGGGCGCCTTGCAAAGACCAATCACACAACCAGCATTGAAACACGACCTTCAGGGTTTTGCCTTTGGGGTGGCCACAAGGCGACAGCCAAGGGAACCCTTTTCTGTCGGCAGGAGCAAAAGCGGCAGGGGGGCAAAACAGTTTTCGGACAAGCTGTTTGAAAGACACATTCATCTTCCTCACTTTGTCATCCTTGAAGCCCTTTCAAGGGATTCATTATGAACAGTGGCTTAAACACCATTCCCCCTTTCCACCAATCATGAAAGCGCACGAGCCCTCCTATCTCCTCTCATAGGTATGTCTTTTTTTAGGGTACTCTGTTTAGGCTTGAAGAAGAGGACTGGCCTCGAGCTTCTGCACTGAGGGGGGGTTGACGCTGATGGGCAGGCGCTCGCCCTGTCGATGAACGCGGGCAAATGTTCAGAGACTGGTGCCATCAAAAAAGCTGGGAAGGTACCCTAAACCTTCTTCCAGGAAAAAAAATCATGCTACCAGATCGCCATTGCCTGGCTCTCTCTACTGAGCTATGGGGGGGCCTCATGCATCCAAGTCACAGGCGGACCCAAAACAAAACTGAACCAAAATCACCAACGATCTTCTTCAAAAGCTTCCCGAAGCATCATATCATGGATAAAGATCTGGAACTATTATTTTCAAAAATGTACCTTCCAAATCTTTAGGTTGTTTGCAACACAATGAAGTCTCCGGAATGTTGAAATTGATATGATTGTGTCATCAAATTGCTACAGTAATAAAATGCTCTGATTAATCTCATTAATAAGCTACATGTCTATATATATATGTATAATGTGATTTTATTATGAAGAAAAACATATGATCTCTGTAATATCATTCCGTCATTCATCATGCAATGGATTCCAAATGCTTTTTATGCTTGGTCTTCATTCATCTTCGTTAATATCAGGAGATCTCATGTTTTTTTGTTTTTGTTTTTGTTTTTAATATAAGACTTGTAAGGTAACAAAAAAGAATACGAAAGACTCGAATTGAGAGATAACCAGAGAACCAGCTAATATTAGATATGCAATTGTGAAACAAACAAATACAATTATTCATGAACATAATCTTGAATCATCTGGTCTATTCTCTTGGTATTCTTCTACCTTGGAAAACCCGGCCGGCGCTTAGTCCCGGTTTTCAACCGCACTCCTTTTTCTCCCGGCCTCGATCTCCATGTGGGAGGCCTTCCGGAGCGCCTGAAGCGGCGCCTATACATCTCCGGCTATGCGGAGCCCGTTGCTATGGCTTCTCTATTTACCCTCCCTCCCACTATCATGGCACCTGACAGGGGGTCCCTACAAGAGGAAAATGACCTTCCAGGTACCCTCCAACAGGTGCCATGTTAGTGGAAGGGAGGGTACTTTCTAGAATCAATGCCGCAAACGGGACAGTGGCATTCAAAATGATGCTTGGCTCTAACAGCATGTATGCCGTCTTTCAAGCTCAATTCCTTGCTATGCCAAAAGAGATGTGCCAGTTGCCATCAGTCGCATGAATGTACGGAGTGTTTCGCCTGGTATCAACTTGCTCACAACCAGCAGGATACCGGCTTCATCACGTGTCGCTTCAAAAGTCTGATGTTCACATAGCGCCAACTGCATGCACCGGCCTCTGCAACAGGTGTACCCACTGCAACTTTCTCGTCATTCGCGTCGAAGAGTGCCACCTTCGGCATCCCAGCCCGTGATGAAACAATTGATGTTGGCAACCTGCCGGGATGTGGTGGGACTGGCTGTTGCAATGCCCCGTAAAGTGGTCGCCCCTCTTTTGCTTCACCCTTTGCTTCAAACTTTTAGATTTGCCTAAATTGAGCTTGACACATCCTGACCAAAGCTTATGAGCATTATTGAAAGTTAGGGCTAGGAGATTTCAGCAGCTCATGCCTGTCGAGGCATATTGGAAACCAGCTTTTTACGCACCGGCCATGTTACAAGCGAATCAAAACCTCATGGACCGACTGATACATGGGTTAACATGATAAACCAACAGTTCAGGTCGTAAATCGTTGCCTGGTTGGTTGGTTCGTTGCTTGGTTGGTTGGTTGCCTGGTTGGTTGCTTGGTTGCGTACCAAAACTTCTCTGTCTGGCAACCAGCAGCAGGAGAGACCACCGAGCTGCCGGCGGACACTGAGCTGGCCCCTGCAACCTAGGTGCAACAAGCGACTGGCATCCAAGTGACTCTGATTCACTGCATACCCTCCCACCAGCTAACATGGAAGTGCACAGACCCCTGTAGAAAGACAACTTTCCTCTTGGAAAGGGCCTCTCTGTACTTCCATGTTAGTTGGTGGGAGGGTGCCTAGAAACGAGTTGGCCTCAAGGCCTCCGAAATGATGCTGGAACTTGGTGAGTGCTTCAAATTCTTCGTTGGGAGATTTATACCGACTCGAATATGACTCTTGGACCCGTCCCCAGAAGGAAGGCTCTGCGGCATGACCCCCAGTCACATGAGCCAAGCAAAATCATCAATGATCATCCTGGCATGTGAAGTGGATATATGCACAATGCACAATACGACTTACATTGGAGTGCTGTCAAAGCCGTGGGGTCCCGTCCGTGTTCAAATAAAGCCCACGACCATTTGGAACGGCTACAAGCTCGATTTTTACACCAATTCCCAACTTGGCCTGGGAAAGCGATGGTCCGAACACGCTGGAAACGGTCCATTCAACAACACATAGTGAGGAGGGACAACCGACAAATGCACAAAACGCATTGCGGCAGGGGCCGTGGCAGAGTTGGAGGCTTCTGCAGCTTTTGCCTTCTTTGACAGGGCCAGCCAAAACACCAAAAACAACATTGCCGCAGCCCACTTGTTAATCGGCCAGCCATGCCCTTATCTGACCCTCACGCTTTGCAGCCCAAGCAACTGATCAGGATAGCATATCCTCAAACTTCCGTGTACGATTATGGCTGGAACCTCCAACTGAGGGGGGTCGTCCAACCCTGTAGAAAAAAAAGGCGGCTTGTCTTTAGAAGGGAATGTCCAGACTTGAGCTTGTCTGTGGGGTGTGCCGATACCCTACCCCGTAAACGTGCTCGGCGGCCCGCCGAGCTCTTTTAGGGGGTTGCCAAGTCTGCAACCACAAGCCGTAAGAGCGGTCATCACCACCTTGGGGTCACCGAGCTCCCTACCCTCTAAAAGTGCTCGGCGGGCCGCCGAGCTCTTTTAGGGGGTTGCCAACTCCACAACCCCATAAAAAAGCAATTAGAAGAAGCGTGTGGCTTGCAGCCAGGCACCTCTAGCGGCAAAATACCCGTTCGCACTCGGGCTACAGCTTGCAGAAAGTAAAGATGGCCTATCTTTAAACGGGAATGTTCAAACTTGAGCTTGCTTCCCTGCAAACGTGCTAGGTGGCCCGCCGAGCTATCTTAAAGGGCTAACTGTCCAATCAAATGCCATAACAGTCGTCCACCCTGCTCCCTGCAATGTTGATATCTCTTGGTGTTACAGCGTTTTGGCTGCCCCTGTTTGACTGTTGCTGAATCTCCTGCACACGGGGTCAGCATAATGTAGCTATATAATCCAGAGGATCATCAAGTAACTGGCCAAAGAGGCAAGATCTGACATCATTCCGCAGGACGACAAACAGTACGATGCCAGCCTTCTTTGCCTTTTTCTTGTCCTTGGAGCGCTGGCAGCATCGTCTCACGCAAACGCCAAGTAATATGAGGCGTCCCATTGTCAGTTGTATCACACAAACAAGCAGCCGACCGGCCAAACTATCAAACGGGCAGACAAGAAAGTAAGTAATCAAGCAATCAAGCAAGCAAGCAAAGCAAAGCAAAGCAAAGCAAATAAACAAACACAAACACACACGCACAGACACAGACACAGAGAGACACAGAGAGACATAGAGAGACACAGAGAGACACAGAGAGACACAGAGAGACACAGAGAGACACAGAGAGACACGGAGAGACACAGAGACACACAGAGACACATAGAGAGACACAGAGACACACAGACACACACACAGACACACCAAGACACACACACAGACACACACAGACACACACACACACACACACAGACACGCAGACACGCAGACACGCAGACACGCAGACACACAGACACACAGATACACAGACACACAGACACACAGACACACAGACACACAGACAGACACACAGACACACAGACACACAGACACACAGACACACAGACACACAAACAAGCAAGCAAGCAAGCAAGCAAGCAAACAAACAAACAAACAAACAAACAAACAAGGTGGCAAAAATACAAAAAAACAGCAGAGCAGCTGGACACATGGAGAAGCTTCGCTCGACCCTCAGGCCCCCCACTGGCCCGGTGAGCAGCCTGCTCGCCTGCTTGCTGCAGCCTACAGGCCGGCGTCCTCTCACGAACTATTCGCGAAGGCGCCCTTCTCAACCTAGAAGAAACTAAACCCGCCCCCCGCCCCTCAAGCTCGACAAGGTTTGGGAAAACCGCAGGATTTTGCGGGGCTCCCAGGAATCCGAACCTGGCCAGTCATCTCCCGTCTTGGCAATAGGACTGCAGGAAAGCAAAAGGAAACTGCATGTTCTGACTTTCCAGGGTTGGAGAGGGACTTGATTCATCAGGGGCTTTGTGTTGTTCGGGGGCGAGGCCTAGCCACGAAGGGGCGGTACTCTTAACGAGCTTGTCAAATCGAGTTTTTGTTTTACAAGTTGTACCAAAAATAGCTGTTTCCGGCTAGCCATGTTCTGGATTTCTGGAATGGCAGTCTTTGACTCTATGAAAGGAGCTAACATTGGCAACCATATTGACAAGAGCTTTGGCAACCACAAAGTTTGATATATATATATATATAGTATATATATATATATATGTATGTTTCATTCTTACTTCTCTCAATTTTGGGCCAAAACGGGGCGTTTTTAATCAGCTAGGGCTCTGGGAGGTGCCCCAACAGACTTCACCGTGACACATGCGGAAAAAAACAAGAAAAAAACCTGCGGCTCGGTTGCACAACGCTGAGGAATGAAACGCTAAGGTTCCCCATTGAAATCCCGACATTTGCCACAAGGAGTTCGTGGTTCCCAGGCGTCATAGTAGGTCGGGCAACGAAGGCTTTGCAGATTCCAGCCAGCGCCCAACGCCCATTGACTTTTGGTTCTAACATGATTATAAAGGTCCACAAAGGCTTCCTATTTCATTGCAATCCTATCAAACCAGGTGAATGTAATAGAATCGTAAAAGAACTATGACAGGTGTTCTGGGTGCGGAAGTGAACAAACAGTTGCCTGCTTTTCAAGCTGCCAAACATAGCAAAAACCCTTTCTCCTTGCCTTTGGGCCATCACATTCCACGCCAGTTCGAGCCGCAACCCTCACTCGCCATTCCGAGTGCCCGGCTGAGGCCCAGCCGCTGCAAGAAGCGCTCCACTGGCTCCTGGTGAGTGGGGAGCTGGGCTCCTTGGCGCCTGGGAACCGTGGGGCTTCAAACCACCATGAAAAAAACCATGGGGGTTCATATAACCACCAGAATTGTTTTTCTCCTAGGGATTCTCATCATGCAAATGGAGTCAGCCATTCTGGGGTTGAATTTCAGGGGAACTTGTCGATCCTTCCCAGGGGTTGAAGTTCAAACCACAGCCACGTCCGACATTCGGCGCCAGGATTGAATTCTAACCGACCTGGTTACCTGCGGAAAATCTTGCAATGGCCAGCGACTCCGGGGGTTGATATAGCCACCTTTTTCTTTTTTTTCTTACCTAGGGACTCTCATCATGCAACCTGGGTCAACCATTCTTCTTATAGGGGTTGAACCCCAGAAAAACTTGTTGGTCCTTCCCAAATATTGGGACAGTTGTGTGAATTCTGGTTTCTATGGCGCGCCTGTGAGTCGGGAACTGCAAACATCCGCTTCCCTGTGCACCCCCCCACAGGGAAATTGGGTAACATCCCAAATGCCACCGGAAGACCAACGACTTCCGTGGGCTAAACCGCCCCTCCTCCCGCGCCCGCAGCAGGTTCAGCTCGGCGCCGCGCCAAAGGACCTGGCGTCCGCGCGAGTCCCGTTGAGTAACAGGAAGATAAATACTGCCCTAGATTGGAATAATGTGTCGAAAAGTTGGAATGAAGAAACTCAAAACAACAGCAGCGGAAGGCCCGCGTATGCCCCGAGCGCAAAGGGAGCAAAGGGGCTAGCTTCAGCCTATTGGCCTGCGCCATCTAGCCAAAACCGGTTGGACGTGGGGCTTGGACATGGTGCAGTGGTCCAAAAGAACCAGCGCAAAAGAAAAAAACTGCTGTAGTTCAAAAGAGCCAACTTGATGGGGACCCAAAGCAACGCATGGCATATATACCACGGATGAGCAGAGCATGGCACCTCGATGGCCTTTGCCACAAAAAAAGAGACAGTGCCACAGTGCCGCGTGAAGGGATCTGAACGTTGCGCATGTCTACTTTGAAACAAACATGCGCCCTTCATGCAATCCAGTACCCGAACCCTGAGCGTTTGCTGGGGTGCTGTCGAACCCATGACCACGGCAAATCCTTTCGTGGAAAGAGACATGATGGAGCTCGATACTACCTGTTGCATCAAAAAAGGTGCCTGTAGTGGTCGAACAGCCATTGAGGCAATCAGGGTTTAAAGCAACTTAGGGGCCATGCTGCCGAATGCACCCCTCATGAGGTTTGTTGCCTTTGGGCTCGCCGTGAAAATCGATTGCATGGAAACACATGCGATTGCCTGCACGGAGATGTTGGGCTCGTTGTCCAGGAGCCGAACAGTGGCCTGGCCGTGGCAAGACAGCGTCCAAAGAAAGTAAAGAGGCACCCAGGCACGTGATTGCACACACACACACAGCCAAAACGCTGGGGCACTCTTAAAAACGAAGAGTCCCTCATTAATTGCCATTATGAACATGTCCCCCAATCGCAACAAGCATGCAAATGCAACTGCTCAGTGTCATGCTTGCAAGGAAGCAAGCAAACAAGCTGGCTTGACGGGCTTGATGTTTTTACATCCAAGGCCCTTCTGAGTTGCGTTTGGCACCGGCATCCCCCCCTGGGGCGCACAGCGCCACCCCCCCAAAATGGATCCGAAACCCAGGACAAGCTAGGCAGGGAAAACAAACATCGCGAAGCACGGTGTTGCTTGGACCTGACCTCAAGCCGAGTGCATGTTTCGGATTGCTGCACCCGGCCTGCCCATTCCGGACAGCGAAACATTTGAGAATGTTCAGGCTATATCTTGAGGAAGCAGCTCTTTCCGTCGATTGTTTCTGTGATTGCCAGGTACATCTTGCCCATTGAAACATATGGTTGTCTTCCCACGCGAGCCTTGCAAGAAGATGCAACATATCAACATGTGGACAGCACCCAAAACGCAATGGCCGCTGGTTCCTCAAATGCATAAAGGATCTCTGTCAGCCGTGCAAACCTGCCAGGCCTCCATGTCTCCAGCGCCAGGGCACTGCCGGCTACGAAAGATGCCTCGAACATGGATGCCTCTCTATGCCTCTCCTTGCTGTGATCCATGCCTACGGTCAATTCACTGGCCTGCCATATTTTTCTCATGGAGGCGATTGCGGGGCGGCCAAATGACCACACCGAAAGGCACCGGGCAATCGTACAACGACTCAGGTCCCAAAGAATGAAAGGCTCCATGGCATGAGTCAGAACGTTGCTCAAAACAGCTGGATACAAAATGGCTCTGCTAACGACTTTCCTTTAGATATGACTCTTCCGTCAATACGGATCCTTTTCTAATGCCAGGTTCAACAAACTGACATGCCGAGCCGATGAAAACAAGTGAACTTTCCTTGTCACTCTTTCCCACATGTCGGGTTTGGTACCATGTGGTCAGTGCCAACGCAACATGCATCATGCGTGCACCAGCCAGTCCACCGCAAAAAGTGATCAAGATTCATCCAGCTGCTGGACAGTCAGAAATCACTGGTCACTTTCTGAAGGCCCCGGCCTGCAGTGCGGGAACATTTCAGCCGCTTGAGAACTGAGTGCGTTCTGTGTCCCTGACTGTTTTTGCCTTGGAGTCGGTTGCGGCTGTTCGCTGCAGTTGGCCTAGCTCCCCAAACTCAATGGTTGCACGGCTTGACTAAAACTGGAACTTGAGCCAGGCGGTCGGTGGAAGTTGATCGGAACAAAAAGGCAAAGCCTGAAAACCTCGCAGCTTGGTGCGCGCCACTCTTCGCCAGAGCTCGCGCTCGCCCAGTTCGCGAATTAGGCATGCTCTGGTGGGGAAACACCTGGCATCTGGACAACTCACTGAAATCTGGTTTTGGGTGTGCACACCTGTGCACTTGGCAAAGCTACAGGTGAAACTCGACTTGGCATTTGCATGTGCTGCTTAAGCTGCCTGAAAAGCTCTTGGGCCGTACGAGTCATATCGATGCATTCGGCAGCCCATGTCAGCCCTAGCCCTTCAGGGCCCTGCACTTAGCTGAGCTCTTTGAAACTGACCCCGCTGCCGAGCCTCGGAAGGTGACTGTCTAAAGGGGCAATCCAGAAATTACATTTGGTTCCAGCTAGCTGAATATAGAGTGAAAACGAGATTCGACTATGAACTAAACAAAAAACATGGCATTGGTCCAATCTTGCACCTTGGACTAATGTGCCGGCACAAGGACCTGGCGTTTCCTAAAGCGGCCATGGGAACCTTGTTTGGTATCACTCTCTCCCAGGGTTTTTCTGAGTGCTGAGAAACCGCTTGCAGAGACAGGACTTTGATTCTGATGCTCCGCGTCTTGTGACAATCACACTGTCCCAAGGCCCTGCCAGTCGGAGGCTTTTGCGGGCACAAGCCGTGACTAACAGGGACAAAGGCATTGGATATCAAGGTGCTGTGTGCGCGTGTGATATCGACAGGTTTCGTGACAGTGAAGTCACTCGGGGAAAAAAAGCTAGACTACTGCAGTTCAATGTTCTTAGATTTTAGGGTGAGTTCGTATTAACCACTGTGGCCATGGGTCAAAACCCCGCACCCCCAGTGAGCAGCCCAATCCCCACTAAAATAAGTTCTAAAATGGGTGGTGAATTCACCTACCCCAAAATGGTACCTTTGGTTCTGAACCATGGCCATGTAAGCCCCCTACAATTTTGGCCTTTATTCACCAGGTCGCTTCTCCCGTCGCTTTCGCGTGCCGGGCCCCCGGCGCTTCGCGCGAGGCAGCCGGAGGCCCTCCTGTCTGAGTCACGTCCCCGGAGCTGAGAAGTCGGGGGAAATGGTCATGGGTCAAAACCCAAATCGTACCCAAGTGAACATCCCAATCTTCACTAAAATAGGTCCTAAAATGGGTGGTGCACCCAAAATGGGATCCCAATGGTTTTGACCAGCCAAGTTGACCTGACACACGCGGCTCGGGCGACCGGGGTCATGATTTTGACTGCTTCTGGGGGGTTATCAAAGTCAGAAGATGGAGCTGCTTCCCTTTAGCCCACCACTTAGGGGGTGACTCTGATCATGGCAAAATAATGGAGCCAGGGTGAAACCTAAAAAAATCTTTGTTGATTGCTAAAACAGTTTTGTTTCATGCTCATCCCGACAAACACGGGGTGAATTCAGCCCGCGTGAGAGATCTGAACGGAGATGTTGAAAACTGTTGAAGCCCTGACATGAAGTCCACACGTTTCAAGCAAGACTGTGCCATAGTAAACTCCGTAGCTCATGCACATATTTAGGGCTGCATGTTGTCATGTCGTGCAATCGCCATCGTGGTACCGACGAAGAAAACAACATGGCCAAATGTGGCTCCTTGCCCGGTTGACAAAGTGGACCAGTTTTTGATATCTGGTATCAGGGGGCTGGGGGGGGAGGGAGGGGAGGGGAGGGGAGGGGAGGGGAGGGGAGGGGAGGGGAGGGGAGGGGAGGGGGGGAGGGGAGGGGAGGGGAGGGGAGGGGAGGGGAGGGGAGGGGAGGGGAGGGGAGGGAGGGGAGGGAGGAGGGGAGGGGGGAGGGGAGGGGGAGGGGAGGGGAGGGGAGGGGGGGAGGGGAGGGGGGGGAGGGGAGGGGAGGGGAGGGGGGGGGAGGGGGGGAGGGGAGGGGAGGGGAGGGAGGGGGGGAGGGAAGGGAGGGAGCCCAAATAAGCCCTTATTAAGCCGAACAAGGCATTTCCACCGAGGCCAAATGTACCCAGCGGAGCAAACAATGCCAGCACCACACCCCCACCCGTCCTCAGTGTCTCAAATAGCTGGAGAGCGGTAGAGGTATGGAAGCATCGAAGGGTCAACCTTGTAGTCTTGCAATGAATGCACAGCACGGACAAAAACGCAGCTGCAAGCAGTGTGCTTTGTGATTCCAGCATATGGCGCATTTCCTGTAGATGGATTCCAACAGGCTCAAACATAGGCCCTTTTCAACACTTGTGTACCAACAAACAGCTGGTCAACCATGGACAAAAATCCGATCTCGAAATGTTCGTCAACCCAGATCGCAGATTGACGACCAGTTACTGTTCGTCAATCTGCGATCTGGGTGAGATACTTTGAGCCCCGCCAGTCAGGGATCCTTACATTCTACACCTGAACATTGCCTTGTACATGGTGGTTTCCCTTGATTTTGGAGGAACAAAACATGTTTCAAACGGGCAAAATGTATCTTTTAAGGAGCCCTGCCAGTGGACCGAGGATGTCACAGGCTTGTGCAGCCGGTTCTGCGTGTCGGATGATGCAGTGATCACCGGCACGGGGCATGGGCCTGGTGCAAGCAACGCCCGTGCCACGAGCGCGAAGCACTCACACTCTTTTTGAGGGCATCCTTTGCGGTGTAGTTTGTTCAGGGAGTTCCTTCAGTTTGAAACACATTCATCCATCTCTGTGAATATAGTTTGTTACACAGATCCTCATCAACCACACATGGGGAACCCCGCTTGCTCTTCCAAAGGAAAACACCATTCATGGAGATTCGTCGCCATTGAAGACGAACAAAGTTGGCTACGCAAACACTTTCAGGTGGCTGCTAGAAAGTGTCGCAGGAAGACAGGCCTTCCAGCCGCATGTGATCAACCTAGGCGTGCGTGACCCTCAAACTAGTTCTCGCTTTTAGCGTTTTTTGCTTCTTGGCTCCGGTCGGGAACCTCTTCAGAAACCAGGGGAGCGCTCAAAACGGTTGGCTTTCCCAAAATGGCCATGTGTGAGGAAACCTTGCCTTTGTGTCCGTCGGTGTTTCTGATCCTAGCCAACCGGGTTTCGTCCACCGCTCAAGTGCTGCCTCTAAGGTGCCAGCCAAGTTCATATCAGCAGGCTGCTCTGCTCTGACCTCTCGCGGACTCACTCTTTGCTAGCGAAGGAAGATACTGAGACCTGTCACATTCCAACTCAAGCCGCTTCTCTTCGAAGCAACCCACAGTGCTCGGGTGTCCGATAGGCCGAGTCACACGCCGATTGAACTACAAATATCCATGAGACGCAAAAGTGCCCAAGATCGGACTTGTTAGAAGAACATGGTACAGTGACATAGCGCTTGACACACATCTTGCGACCAGAAGTTGTTTTCACAGACCTGACAGTTTCCCGCCAAGCATGTGGCTGGCCAACATAAGTGCTTAACATTGACACGAAAGGACGTGTCAAATACATCCTGTTCCAACTGAGTGCCGTTCGACTCGCGACGCGGTTTCAGGTCATTTAGGCACATTGCCTAAATGCCTGTTTTCACGGGCGAAACGCCGGCCTTCTCAATGATCTTGGTTACGGAGTCCTTGGAGTGGATCGCCCGGAATTTGGGGTTCTGCTCCAGGACCGCCTGGATTCTCGCGGCATGGTGACGAGGCCGCAATGCGCTCCTCTTGTTGGATGGGATCACAATGAAGCCACGTAACAATGATAGAGGGCAGCTTTGCACACAGGGCCTCTGCGAAGTCTTTGACCTCTGCGTCTACAGCAGGGCGATCTCCTGCGTTAGTCGAGCTGTCCTTGGTTCAATCAAACGCCGCAAGCGGTTCACACACACACACACAGAAGGCCCCACTCAGAAGCGCGCCCAGTCTTTTTGGGCATTGTCCCGACCCTCTTTCCTGTCGGCAAGCTCTTGGGCGCTGCATCTTATGGCAATCCAAACCGAACATCTGGAATTTTATAAGTTCTGCTGAAAAAAAAGAGTTTGCGGGAACTATCACATCAAGTTGACATCCTGTCAACACGATCAACCTTTGCACGCCTTGATCGTCTGCTGGATGCGACGCTATACTCGCTCTTGAGGTCCCCAAAGACACTCTGACCATCTACGCCGTCCTGGCAAGGCGGCACATCTTCTGCTTTAGCAGTCCAAACACGGCCTGAGTCGTATGGTTGGTGTTTCAGGTGTTTTGTTTATTGTGCATAATGAAGTATTTGCTAAGTAAAAGGAGCTCCCTAGAAGGGAAGGAAAAGTACAGCTGTTCCTCTTTCGCTGTGCCCTCCAGGTCAAGCTCACAGCACGCGAGCGCATATGCATGACAAAGTGGGCATTCTTCTTTCCGGGCTCATAAAGGACGAAGCACCACTATTTGGTTTCATCAGCCGGGTTGCACATGTGGTGAATTTACCTCACACCAAGATATACCAAGGACACAGCCCTTGCCTGTGCGCCTAGCCTAGTATATGAGAGGCTTGTCCTTCAGGCCCTGTTCAGTCTCTTCTCGGTTTCCCTGTGGATCCAACATGCACGACAACCCTCTGTGAGAAGCTCACAAGCAGGCTGTGGTGGAAAAATGCCAAACAAGATACAAAAACGCAAATGCAGCCAAAAAGAAAACCTCACGCTGTGGTGGAAAAATGCCAGCAAATGCAGCCAAAAAGAAAACCTCACGCTGTGGTGGAAAAAAGCCAAACAAAATACCCAAACAAAAACGCAAATGCAGCCAAAAAGAAAACCTCACGCTGTGGTGGAAAAAAGCCAAACAAAATACCCAAACAAAAACGCAAATGCAGCCAAAAAGAAAACCTCACGCTGTGGTGGAAAAAAGCCAAACAAAATACCCAAACAAAAACGCAAATGCAGCCAAAAAGAAAACCTCACGCTGTGGTGGAAAAAAGCCAAACAAAATACCCAAACAAAAACGCAAATGCAGCCAAAAAGAAAACCTCACGCTGTGGTGGAAAAATGCCAAACAAAATACCCAAACAAAAACGCAAATGCAGCCAACAAGAAAACCTCACGCTGTGGTGGAAAAATGTCAAACAACATACCAAACAAAACCGCAAATGCAGCCAAAAAGAAAACCTCACGCTGTGGTGGACAAATGCCAAACAAAATACCCAAACAAAAACTCAAATGCAGCCAAAAAGAAAACCTCACGCTGTGGTGGAAACATGCCAAACAAAATACACAAACAAAAACGCAAATGCAGCCAAAAAAAAACCTCACGCTGTGGTGGAAAAATGCCAAACAAAATACCCAAACAAAAACGCAAATGCAGCCAAAAAGAAAACCTCACGCTGTGGTGGACAAATGTCAAACAACATACCAAACAAAAATACAGCCAAAAAGAAAAACTCACGCTGTGGTGGAAAAATGTCAAACAACATACCAAAAAAAAACAAATGCAGCCAAAAAGAAAACGGACAACATCGAAGGGGTCCCCTTCCCTAGCCGCTTGCGAGACGGAACAAAAAATCCAGCGAACAACGCAAGGAGCTGTCCTCCAGCTTGGAACTTCCAGCGGCCGTGCTTTCCTGACCAAAGTGATCCAATGCGAATGTGTGTGTGTGTGTGTCTTTCTAGGGGACCCCAAAACATGGTTTCGGCTTTGCTCGTGGTTTCCTTTTAAGCCACCCCCTATTTAGGATACCATCAAACCTGGTAATGGTTTTTGAGGAGGGGGGAAAGGGAATTGCAAGGGAACCTCCCCCACGTTTGCGTCGTGTGAAGAAACTCGCCACCTGCTTGGTGCAGGCAGCTGTCATGCGCCAAGCTTTTTTCTTTGGGCTGCGGGTGCACGCCTCGTACTCTTCATCCAGACCGGCGTGGAAGTTTGCCAGGAGCTCATCCTTGAACCTCACGGGCAGGCAACAGAAGAAACCCGTCGTCATGGCCTGCCACAGCCACAAGCACAAGAAGGAGCCGTTTTTTGGGCAACACGGCAAGTAACCACAGCAAGCACATTTAGAGCCCCGTTTTTGTAGGCAGCAAACATTGAAGCAATTAACCATGGAATCATCAGATGGATTCTTGCCATCGAGCCACGCATCTTGCTCCTTCTTGAGCTTGCCAGTGCGATCCTTGAGAGCCTCGCAATGGCCGGGCCGCGATCGCATCCGCGATCGCCGGCCATTTCCCTCGGCTGAGGCTCCCGCGCCCAAGGCTTCTCGGAACTGTAAATCGCCGACCTGAAGCTGCGAGGTATCCCCAAGCGCCCATTGACGGGAAAAGCAGGGCAACCAGAACGAAAAGCTGGGCAAAGAACAGAAAGAAAAGCAGCTGGGCAACCGACAGCACGAACCGATACAAGCAGCGCACACACACACACATATTAGCAGAAACAACAACATAGATTACATGTGCAGAATCAGGTCGCTGGGGCTGATTGAGGACGAGGCGTACTTGTCAAAGTTCAGATTCTCGACAAAGTTGATGAGGTCGTCGCCTTCCTCCTCTTCGAAGTTCTCTCTCTCCTATCCAGCAAATTGCACTTCAAAGTATTTCTCAAGCTGCAAATATTGTGCACCACCGGTGGGAAGTTAGAGGCATCTTTGAAGGATGTCTCTCCACAAAGCTGGCTGCGAGAAACTAGACCGACCACAGAGTCGAACTGCAGAAATACTTTTATCTCATTGCCAAAGCATATTTTTTGGGGGTACATAAAAAGGGGAACTCCGCGGAAGCCTGCGCGAGCTGCATGTTTACAGGTTTCAGCCTACGCACAGGAAGTTCCTACGCAAAAACACCTACGCGGCCTACGCGGACTGCGCAAGCACACTATTCCAGCCTACGCGGCTCTTGGGCGCTACAAGAAAAACTCTGCTCGGACCTGGCTTCCTGTGAGAACGAGGGACCCTGCCTGCTCTGTCATCGCCCACATCGGCTTTGACGCCTGCGAAGTGGAGCTGGGGAAGCGCAAAACGAGCTTCCGAAGCACGCCATGGAAAGTGGGGACAATGCCACTGCCGTGAAGAAAACTCATGCAAAGTTGTGTGTTTGTTTCCTAAACGATGTATACATACACGCATGTCAGCTTCATGTGGGGCAAGTACGGGATGAAACAACATGTCGTCAACGGCTGGCTAGCATGCTGTCTGGTGTTGCCCCGCGATTCACCAGGTCTTGCAACATAGTTGGCATGCTGCTCCTGCAGCCTCTGTGCCAATGGCCTTGTGATGTCCTTTCAATCATCCTTCATGTGGCCAGCTGATGCTCATATCCGCCAAAAGGCGTCTCTTGCCTTCACCACCGGCTTCGGCTTGGGCGGCTCTATGGCGTTTGCGGCCGCAAGGGCAATCTCGGACAGCGCGGGCCTTGTTCGATGCGGCAGGGTCTAGGGTCAAACTGGTAGCAAGTCCCAGATTTAACCAGATCTCACCCTGGCAACAAAGTTGTTAAGACTTCTGCAAAGTTATGGTTGACTCTCATCTGTGGCAAGACCATCTGCTCGGATCCTTACCCAATGGAAGTCTCAAACCAATAGGCCTGATGCCAAAAGATTCATACCGTGCTAGTAGAGAAAACACGAGCCAACTCAATGTCGTAGGCTGGTGAAGCTCACATGCAAGCCAAAAGCCATGAGCCATGATCTTGTCTTTGCTTGCTTCTGAAGCTGCCATATCCGTGGAGGTTGCGAGGTATGAACGTTTGGGCAAATTGCCAGGCACGGCATCTCTTCTCAGAAGCCTGCGCTATGCAAAAGATGGGCCAGGGCTTCCGAGTTTGCACGTCACAAAGCTGCCTCTGTGAGATCTGTGCTGCAGTCGGGTGCGTATTAGGATTGTTTCATGCAACAAAGTCTCTGGCCAAGTTCAACATTCGATCTTCCAGCTTGGCTGCTGCCGGCAAGTCGTCCATCCTTCGCCCACAAAGGTCCTACCACAAACTGCGAGCGATGCGATGCCCAACTTCGCCTCCGCTCCCTCAGATCTGAGAACGCGACGCAGCCTTGGCTTTAGCCCTGGCCTTGGCGAACCATTGCTCGTGCTTGCACGCATTGAGTCGGTCGCTACAAAGAGACTCGCAGGCTAGCGCCAACACAACTCAACGTGACCAGCGATTCCAGCGCATGCTCTTGGCTCCAAGTTCTGAGAGATGCACCTCTGCTGCCTTGGCCGTTTTCTCGGCTCGCGCTGCTTCGTCCTCCTCGCCAAGCACAAGATGCATGGTGTCAAGATGATCGCAAAGAGTGAGTCTCCAGTGAGCCTCACATGGCTGTGGGTCAAAACCAATGGTACCATTTTGGGGTAGGTGCACCACCCAGTTTAGTCGGTTTTAGTGGGGATTGGGATGTTCACTGGGGGTACGGGATTTTGACCCATGGCCACATCTGACGAACAACGTACTCAGGGTCAGCGTGCCCTTAAGAAAAGACGCTGGTTAGTTAATTATGCTCGGTCTCGTGGTCATCTCAGATTGACCCCAGTCACGTCTTTGACCCTGGCGAGCAGTTCCGGCTTGTAAACAAACTTTGATTTCAAAACCGAATGAATCCGGGAAGCGAATCATCTCATCCAGCTGGAAGATGTTGATCTGGAAAAAAAGTCTTTAGGTAACGCATTCCTAAGTGCAGATCTACAAAACAATTTCTATCCAGGTCCAAAGCATGGCTCGAATACGCGGTTCCCGGAAAGGACGAGTGAGTGCCTGTCTCTCCCAACTGAACCATCGACTGGACATTCGGACCGATGTTGAAAGGCTTGCAACCTTCAATGATTCAAAGGTTCTTCGCGTGCGCCCCCACGTGTTCCATGCTTTCCAGAGTCCTTGCCTGCGCTTTCGGATAGATTGTAAGTTTTTGATACAGGGCTATGCCTTTGCAAAGGCACCAGCTGGTCAATCTTCCTATTAAGTTTTTCGTTAAAATGATGTCATTCGGAGTTAGTCCAAGCGCCCGCAACGTAAAATGGTTGGATAGATTGTGCGGTTTGGGTCTGATACAGCAGCCTCAGGCTCAGTGCCATGTTTTGCTTCATTCGGCTCCCCAATTCTCTCCCAGAAGAAACAAACCCAAGAATGATAGTACTTGTGTGAAATACAACAATCTGGAACGGGCCAATTGAACATCGGGCATTAGACTGTCTGAGCCAGGCGTAGTACGTCCTGAACCAGGAAACCACATCTCTGATGCAGGGTGTCACTTCTGACATGGCTGCTTCCAATGAGTCAACTGCAGTCTCTGTATTGCAACATGCTGTGTAATCTACGACAGCCAGTTCCCTTGTGGCTTCCCAAGGAAGACTCCTAGAGCTGGAAACCTCCCAATCATCAAGCCCAAAGTGGCCGCAGTCGCAGTCCTCTCTTTTCTTGTCATCCCTTTCCTTCATCATGCCTCGAACAGCTTCTCGGTGCCTAGAGGCGAGTCGGAGAAGAGCAGACGAGTTCAAAATCAGTCAACGCTTAAGGCGAACTCCATGACAAGAAAGCGAGCGCAAAGTCACAAAGCATTTCGATCGGCTTCTTGTTCATAGTGTCCAAGAGGTTCTCTCTGTTATTCTGAGAATGTGAGTGCTTCCACCCATTGAACACGTGTACAAGCCTGTGATGGGTGACACCCCCTTACCTGTCTTACACGGCTTGTGGATTCCCGTGAATTTTTTGTAGGTGGCGCCTGATGGTTTCCGCTCAAGCCACAAAGGCAACGGCCATCATATTCTCGGTAGAGGGTCGACACTGCCTTTGCTGTTGCTTGCCCCTGTTGCAAACTCGAAAGGTCCAAACCAATTGCCAGTTGAGGTGACCGTCTCAGAAGGCAAGAAAGCACGCCATCTTGGCCAATCGAGCGCGAAATATAATTTTCCCTACACTATGGAGCGCGTCTTCTATGTTTTGGTTGATTGCAAACCCAGTATGTAAGCAAAACTCTTCCACAGGCTTCAACAAAGAGCGCACTTCAGCCGGAGGGTCACTATTACAACTTGCTTCTTCCATTGTGGTCGTTAACCTTCTTCTCAAAGGAGTAGAGTGATTTATCTTCGTCAAGGCACAAGGGTTTACCTTTGTCTCGCAGACCTCACATTCTAAGCGGAAGCAAAAGCCGAAGGGCGAATCCCGCTTTCAACAGCTGTCGCGGTGAAAGGACTGGGTGCGGCACTGATCGAAGGCAGCCTTCAGCTTCTGACGCTTCTCTTCGCAGTCTTGGCCCTCCTGCTCCGCCTAAGGCGAGAGTCAGATGCTTCGGGCGGGCTAGAGATGCAAGACCTTCTCATGGCCCGAAGGCAGGGTGCACCAAAGGGCGGTAAACATATGCGCATGCGGGGAGGGCGGGTGTTCAAAGTTCTGGACCTGACAACGCACGTGAACCAAGCACGCAAGTGACCTGGGTGGTAGGCTTAGCACTATTTCCCGCTGGTCGGGACGGTTTTGTTTTGCTAGGAGTGGCTTTGTGGTAAGAGTGGCTCGCTATAAGAAGTGGCTGAATGTGGGCACTGTGACGAGGGCAACGTTCCTAGCATCATCCTGATCTGTTGCCGCCACCAAACAGGCATGAGTCCCATGCTACGTTGCAGGGCTGGTTTCAAGCCTCTTAAGTTCTTGCGCCAGGAATAGGGTGGGCTTTAGACGGTTTTAGGGCTTTGTCACGGTTGGCTTTTGGTTCGTTTAGGGCTAGCTGGGGTGTGACCATCGCTTGGCATTAGTTGTTGTTTGGCTTCATTTGGGTTGAACTCGGGTAAACTTGGGGGTGGCTGGCTTGTGTCAGGTGTTGGGGATTTCAGCAGCGTTTACTGTTGCTGAAGGGGGGTGTTATTATTTGGGGCAACGCAGCAAAGCCAGGCGCAAACAACAAAAATACAAATACCCCCCGCCCCCCCGACCTTCTGCAAACGTAAGCACTGAAAAAACCAGCCCCAAAACATGACACAAGCTAGCCCCCAAAGCCACCCCTCATTTCAACCCTAAGACTAAGCCAAACAAAAACCAATGCCTAGCGGTGGTCACGCAACCCTGACAAAGCTCTAAAACTGTCTAAAGCCCACGCTATTTTTCCTGCCGCAAGAACTTAAGCGGCTTGAAACCAGCCCTGCAATGCATCATGCCTGTCTTGCGGTTGTCCTTCTGCAAAGATTTAGAATGCTTGGCTATTGAAATGCCTGGCGCCAAAGTTTTTTGTTAGATGGCCTGGCGCTGCTCTTCCCGCATCTGCTCCTGCAGCTCCCGAAGCCAGCGCCTGATGCTTGGCAACTGGTTTTTGTTGGAGAGTCGCCTCGTTTGCAGGAAAATAGGGGGGACTTGCCGGTGTCAAACGTCAAGCAAACCAATGCGAACCAGGGGTGCAAACCAAAATCCTAAGGGCCGCTTTGGAACCTTGTCATTCTCAATTGGCTCGCTCTTGGCTTCCGCGCACATGGCGCCGCAGGGCTGCGCTCGGGCCGCGCTTCTTCACAGTGGGCTCGAAGTTCCTAGGCCAAAAACCGGCAAGTCATGTCAGCTGCCAGCTGTTCCAGGTGTTGCAACACGTACAGGTAACGGTAAGGTAGGTGCCGCAAGGGCGTCAAACCCGGCTGCGAAGTGGAGGCTACTGCAGACCTTCCGGGCATTGGGCGGTGAAAATAAAAGAGTCGACTCCACAGAAACGAAGGTCCCCAACTTGGACAAACAGTTCTCACACGAGGCAACCGGGTCCCAGATGGCTGGTACTGCACTTGCTCCAGCCGCGGCCTGAAGGGCTCCTTCCCACCCTCTCCGGCAAACTTGGCATCGTCGCTGGGCCGATTGCCTCGGGACATGAATGAACTTCACCCCGCGCCCCCCGTCAAGGCCATGCATTTGAGGGGCCCAACAGGAAGGGTTGGAGCTTCCACCTTCTGGAAAATCCCCAACGTCGGGGGAGTGCGCCTAATTGGAAGGGGCCAGCTCCCCCTAAGCATGGCTTCACGCCAGACCCCCGGAGTCCGGAAAAGATGAAACGTTGTACGTGTTCCATTTGCATTTCAATTTGGCACAGGATCCGCTTCTGCGAACTTGTTTTTGCAGGGTTGCACACATCAGGCCGTTGTGCTTTGCAAGCCTTGGCCTTTTCCCCTCCGCTGCCCAGCCAGTCCCCGAATGATGTTAAAACCGGTTCGCAAATGCGGTTCGCTGGATCCGAACTTTGACAAGTCGTCCCATGCTTGCCGCGCGGATCGCGCGGCATGGCTTTTCCACTGAACCGCATCGGGGATGGAGCCGGGCCCGGCACAAAGCATCACCCCCTTGAAGTTGCCCAGGCCGGATGGCGGCGGAGGAGCCTCCATGGAGCCTGAGAGCCAGCCCTGACGTGGTCTCTCCTTCTCAAAATGGTGGAATCATTCTCCCCCCTTTGGGTATTGTAAAGGGAGACCAAAGGAGCAAAGATTTCCAACAAACCGTTCTCGTTTTTATTCTTATTTTATGTTATTTTTACGGAGACCAACGGCGCCAAGCTTTGGGAACCCACCCATGGGAAATGGACCGATTGAGAGACACCCTCCCCGCCCGGCTTGACGCATACCAAGCGCCAAGCCTTGGCTCTCTGAGCCCGTCATCGCGTGCCTGACGGGCCCAAAGCGGCGGATTCTCGACAGATCACGGATAATTTCTATGGGTTGTGAGAAACGCTTTCGAAGGTGGCGCAAATGGATCCCCTTAGGCGTGTGGATGTTTGGAGGGTTTTCGAACAGCATGTGGCGCGGATTGATCCCGACAAGCCGTGTGAAAGAAGGTTGTGAGAAAGGTGGAGAGCGCGCCATGTGAAATGGGTGCTTAAAGTTAAAGAGGCAGGGTTCCACAGGCTTTAGTCTTTGATAGTCTTTGGTTCCATTGACCAAGGTGCCAGTTTGGTAGATTCTTTTGAGCCACAGCCAAATGATGGTTAAGCTTTGAACGCACCGGGCGGGGACCGAACGAACGAACCGAAGGCCCCTGCCTCGGCCACTTGCTTCGGCCAGACGGCGCTTGAACCTCCTCACCTTTCTGCATGACGCCCCGAAGCAACCGAGGGCGTTGCCGGCGAAACATGTCAAATCCATGGCAACGGGCATCATGCGCGCGGATTTTTTTTCAATGAGTGAGACAGAGGCAAAATCCACTTCGGTGGAACAGGTTCAGACGTTCTCTACTGGGCCTCTGTTTGCCGAAGGCTTCTCGGCCTCTCCTGATAAAACAGAAGAGTCTTGACCTGAGACTCCAACCTGCGCGAGCCCCGTCCAAGTTGCAACACAAAATGCTGTTGAACATCACTGACGACTTTCGAAGCACATGAAACAAGAAACAAGCAGGTGATCAAAGTATGGACTAATCTTACATGCTGTCAAACATCACAATGCAAAGGCAGAGCAGAGCTCTACATTCTTGAAACTCGATTGAACCAACGGGTGGGCTTCCTACTCGGCTCCCGAAAATTCGAGCGTTATATTCGCTGGCTGCTGGCTAGCTAGAAGCGTGCGGCAACTTCAAGTGATACCAGTGCAATGTCGTTTGCCCGAATATCACGCCGACTATTGGAGCTCCAGCCTAACTAGAGCTTCTCAACAGAAGGTATCTAGCTAAAGGCCTCAACCAAGAGGCTCAGATCAAATGCGCTCGCCGCGCGCGTATGCATTGTAGTTGAAGGCCTGCTGATTTTGGTACCTGAGTCTTGCGCATACTGGCCAGAGAGGGTATCTTAGATCTGTCTGGCCCAGCCATGTCAGGTTGGTCAAGACATGACAAGTCAAGCTGACCCATTGCCCAGCGCACAGCGGCCGGGGCCCCTGCCCGGCTTGTGGGGCTTGGGCTTGGGCCTGCGCCTGAGCCAAACAATGGATTTCGCACCGGCAAGCCATGGCAAGTCGCCTGTTCTGGAACCGGGTGCCCCACTGTGAAGATCAATCAACTGGTAAACTGCTGTTGCTCAATATGTCAAAGCAACATGTCAAGAACAGTGTCCGAAACAACATGTCTATAAATTTGTCGAGCCTCAAAAGTATCTGGCCAAAGCAAATACTAAAAGCGCCATCAGCAAGACTCATTCGGACTCATTGCGGGCTAGTTTTTTCCGAGGCCAAACAGATGTTCCCGAGGCTTTGTCAACATGGCAATCAAACCATATGGGTGTGGGTCAAAGTTTAAGAGCCAGGGTTACGCAGGTTTTAGTCTTTGGTTCCATTTACCAAAGGGTGCCATTTTGGTACATGTTTTTGAGCCACAGCCATATAGACCGGAAGCAGATCTTTCTTGAGGATGGATCATTGGCCACGCGCACATGGCGAGGAACGGGGTACCGGTACCGGTATTCTTCCTCCGCTTACAATCTGACACCGTTCAGCGAGCTTGGGCCAGCACATAAGCTGCGTTTTGTCCACGCTGCGGATCCATGTACCTGGCGCAAAGGGATCTGCCGGTGGCCTCTTTGGTGCAACTGTGTAGAAGTTGCCTGGAAGTACCCAAGGAACCTGCATCATGGGCGAGGACGTTTGGTAAAAAATCATCTGGCCATTGTTTGTCCCAAACACAAAAGGCTGCTTGCAGGCCGGTTTTGGGCACTGCGCATAGTAAGCTCGGAGGTCGTATTCCTGAAAAGATCAGGCGGCAACGCATGCCCACAAATGCTGATTGGTAGTGGGTGCGTCTTTTGTTGGAGGAATCCCCAAAATGGTGGGTTTCCTTTTGGTTTCCCTTTGAAACCACCAAAAAGCATGCAAAAAAGGGTTGCACTCAAAAGCAGACACACCCATATTTTGGTCAAGCTGTACTGCTTCAGCTCTTAACCTGCCCGAGCCCAGCAGCTTGACAGCAATTGGGCTGATTGAAATGGCATTCATAAATTGATGAGTCTGCTGCCAAGCTCTGACAAATGGCCATGGCTGAAAATCCAAATCGTACCCCCAGTGAACATCCCAATCCCAAAAATAGGTTCTAAGATGGGTGGTGAATTCACCTACCCCAAAATGGGATCCCATTGGTTTTGACAACCACAGCCAAATGGAACTGTGCTTAAAAAATATGCTCTGGCGATATCCCCAACAGCATGTGGTGCTCTTTTTAGTCCCGTGGAACCCTCACGGAACCCTGGTGGAACCCTGGTGGAACCCTCGTGGAACCTTACCTGAGGGCCGCCCCTCACCACCCCGGAGCCTATCTGGGCCGAGACCCCAAAGCTTTCAGCTGTTGGGGAAAAAAATCATATCCCAAAATGGTACCATTGGTTTTGACAACCACTGCCAAATGGACCTGTGCTTTAAAAAAAAGCAGAGGCCAAGGCAGTGCCAACACCTGGGCCGCCGGTTGGCTCGATCCCGAGCAGTCCTGGCCCGGCTGCATTCCCATCATGCCTCGCTGTGCCATCTGCCAACCCTGGCGCAGCTCGCGACCGAGGCGCGCGACGAGGCAACCGTGAGCTCAGAGTCTGGGCTCTAATGTTGACCCAGGATCTAAGTAGAACCCGTCCCATTAATTATTTATTATTTTGCGGGGTGTTCCAAACAAAAGTGATGAATCCCCACTAAAAGGGGACACCCACCTATTAATCAACCAGGGGTTTATTGATCCGGGGTTAACATTACATGTGATTCGGCATGGCCAGTGCTCCACGTTGATCGTTAGGGGCAATCCCCACCCGGCGAAGTCATGATGGCTGCGTACGCGCAGGAGGAAAGCACCATCAGTACAATTGCCACAAAAAAACAAAACAAAACTCTTTTTACGATGCTAAACTCCCATGTGCTCAATGTGAGCGCTGGTCCAAAGTTGGGGAACAAAATGCATGGGTTCTATCATACTGCGCACCTTGTCCTTTGGTGCAAGCGATCGGAGCCCTCAAGATAAGAAGCCCTCAAACAGGTTCCCTGACCTTTTCGCTGAGGTCCCTGATGGCACTGACTGTACAAACAAAGCTTCAGGCGCATCTGGTCTTGAGGGGAAAAAGGCGACCGAAGCTCCGGCCTGCGCTTGGTAGGCCATTGCCTGGAAGGAAGGACGCAGTCAACTTCAACAGTCGACCCCGAGTGCCTGTGAAATGCCTGGTTGTGGAGTAGACCTGCTTGTATTCAAGCTATAAGCGTTGTGCTTAGCAAGTATCATTGTGCACTTGTATGAGAAAGAGAGAAAGGAGAAACAGTAAAAGTTACTGCTGGTGATGGTGGTGGTAGTGGTAGAAGTGTTGCTGTGAGGCGGACGGTGAGGGGTGTGTTGCTGTTGGCAGGGATTTTGTGGCAGGTGACTCCCTCGGCTTCCTGCTAGCCTGAGGATCGCTAGAAATGATACTCATGTGGCTCTGCTCAAGGCCATGGGTCAAAATCCCGCAAACTCAATCCAACCCATCCCAACTCGGAGACTGGCCTGCATCCATTGTTGGGGATTGGTCCATTGCATGGCTGCAGCTTGCCTCAGCCATGGGTTTTGTTGCGCATCCGGCCGGTAGCATGTTACGCCTCTCAAGTGCCCCAAGAAAGGAACCTGAGGCTACCCTCAGAACCACCTTTCAAGCTGGAATCGACATCGCCTTCTAAGCTTCAAACTGCTGTGGCTGCTGTTGCTGCTGCTGTTGTTGCTGTTGTTGCAGCTGCGCGTACCTCATGGCGGGGCAACAGCGACAAGCTTGAATTGGTACAGGGAACAGGTTTTCATCCCCTCCCCCTGCAGAGAGAATTGTCATTTCCAACACTAGGACCAGTTCACCTCCATCAGCAAGATGTGGGTGTCGGTCAAAAATAGCTACCCAAAATGGGGCCCTGGTAAAAGGACACATGGACTACAACCTGCGGTCCCCTGTTGGTTTAATTTTGACCCATATGTGTTTGAAATGGGCACAAGGCCCTTTAGCCTCCGTGAGCTGATCACGACAAACCCCAAATGGAAGCTCTCCACTCAGGATCCCAGGCGGGTCGGTGGCGGTGGCAGCGGCTGCTCCCATTCGATTCTGGCACATCAAGCCAGCAGTGAAGACTCTTGGGTATGCGTCGGAACTAGGGATCCTTCTGCTGAGTCAAAATCAACACCCGATATTAAAATGGTCGTAATCCCAGAACCATGCTTCAAGAATTTAGAAGGCGGCAGCTATTTCTGGTTGGGATCGTCCCTTAACCTCCATCTACCCGGGTTTTGAGCACGTGACTCATCTTACAGTAACTCGGAAGCCGACCTCAAACCTAAACTTGTCCTGTATGGGGCAGCTGAAGGTGAGTGTCCAGCAGTCGGGATCCGGCGCTATTGAAGGGACGGGTCCACTGGTGGGATGGCAGGCACGCCCGTTTCAGGGGAAGGCAGAGCAACAACTTGCAAAACAAGGTTGGTCTTTTTTTTCTTTTTTTTGGAAGTACCAAGTCGGGTTGTCTCTTTGCAACCATGAAGCTTCCCTTTTGGAGCATGGCCCCCCATACAGCCTGCGCCACACCGCCTTGCTGCATCCACTGCTCTCTGATCCACTTCTGCTGCTCTGCCTTCGCTTTTTGCGCCCAAAATTGGACTGATTGCCACACATGGCCAATGTGTCAAAATGGGATTCCCCCAAAGCAACCGGGGAAGGATACTCAAAAACGCCCCACACGCGCACACACACAGCGGATTCTAGACCCTCCATGGAGGACACAATCAATCAAAAGCGCTCACCGAAGTAAGCCGTTCACGATCGATATGCCTTGGAGGTGTGCGGCCGCCACCCATTTGACTCAATACATGGACGTGGGAGTCCCCCATGCCCTCCCCAAATTCAGTATCCAGTGCCTCTTGCCGCCGTTTCTGCCTGGCCACTGCAGGCTGAAATGACCATGGGTCAAAATCCAGTGAACATCCCAATCCCCACCAAAATGGACCAAAATGGGAGGTGCACCTACCCCAAAATGGTACCATTGGCTTTGACCCACAGCCAAATACCGGTCAACTGCCCAACCATGGCCGGGCTGACTCTTCCTCTTGCTCGTATCGTCTGCGCCTAGGTCATGCAGCGTTCCTGACGAGTCTTCTGACTGCAGCTGGTGGTCGGCATTGGTGGTTGCCTGTTGCTTTTGGAGGGCTGCTGCTGAAAAGTGTGAATGATAGTATTGACTGTAAACGAGTAATGCCAAAAACATGCATATACCTTCAACATTGAATGTCAACATGCAAAAGCATGTAAAGGGGAAATAGCACATAATCACATGCAATGAGTTAATAATAATGATAATAATAGTAATAATAATAATAATAATAATAAGTATTGAATCAAGTCTGTGCAATGAGAATATAAACAATGTGATGGGTGCAATATTGGCAGTTTAAGTGAACAAAAGACCCGGATTCACATGTGAGGCACGGTCAACATTACTTCCTTGCGGCCGTTTCGCTACTTAGTTTGAGAGTCCCCTATCGTGTTCCAGCAATTCCAGCCTTTTCCAGGGGTATCGTTTTTTGGAGAGTCCCCAATCGTTTGCCATGGTTTTGTGCATTTTCAGAGTATCAATGAAACACCGAATACTAAACTCAACCGAAGTAATTTTGACGGTACTTCATGTGAAAAACAACATATGCATTGCATGTATAGAATGAACCATGATATGAATACGAACGTGAGCAAGTGCAATATGGTCTACAAACATCTACGTAAAATGAATCATTATGTTTTATGATACCCCATTTTCAAATCCCAATCACAGGTGACAAAGTAGTTCGGAAAAACTCCAAGGGTTCATGCCAAGCATTCTACCATGGATTCATACATTGCGCCTTGATGCTGCAGTTGCTGTATGGTTTTGGTTGCTTCTTTAAGCCTGCTGAGCAGCAAGCTTCTATTCTTAGTGCAATGCTCATCTCAATCGATCAGTCGTAGCTAAGTGCCACGCTGTTCTGTTCGCTCTCGGAAAACAGCCTCTTGCCGCGCATGTTCCTGCCAGCGCGCTCTGACGCGTGAGTCCACGTTTAACAATCAGCATCTAATTCTTCAAACCGTTCAAACCCTTCAACCCCGATCTTCAGCAACTGCTGCATCCTAGCAAAGGACCTTCAAAGGCAGGGAGCAACACGCACTCAACTGCCACTCTCGCTCCAACGGATGCCGAGCAGAAAACGGCGGCCGGCCGGCTCAGTCAGTGAGGTCCAGCCGAACGCGGGCAGCTTGGGTCTTGGTGATGTCGGCATAGGCGTCAGGCCCACGCAGCCTCTCCATAGTATCATAGCGTTCCACCTTCTCCTTCTCAGGGCGGTCTATGGTCATTCAAGCCCGCTGGTCCCTCAGGGTTCTGGACCACGCGGCTGTCACCAGCATTGGCGAGCCCACTTGTTCTGCGCGCCATAGTGCAGTCGCCGCGATACAGCCGCTGTCCGCTTTTACGAGGCTCTGATGGGCGCTTTTTGAGAATGTGGATTTTCCACATGTCCGTTTGTGTGGTTCACCGCGAACTTGCTTTGTCTTGGCTGCGCGGGGTACTTCTTGCCCTTTCGAGCAGAGCCCAGAACCGACCGCTCGCATGGAGGTCGCCTTCGCCATGCCACGCGCTTGGTCGAATGACCATAGCCCCGGAGACGAGCCGAATGCGGAGTCGCACAGATTCCCCATGGCGGCACAGGGATTCAAAGGATGGACGGCAAGACCCAACCACTTCCAGGTGTCTTGCTGAGCACCGTGTTTTGACCTGGGTGATCCTGTAAATCTCATATAGCAGCAAGCCAGCTGCAAGCTTCTCACATTTATTGGAACCGATCCACAGGTGGCAATGCACCATCCATCACCTGCTATCTGAGGGCAGGTTGATTCCGTATTCAACTGCATCTCTCCGAACGTGGTCGCACCAGTCACATGCGTCGTAGTCAAGACCGTAAAATGGTCTATCCAGACCCATGTGAAGAATTAGGAAGGCGGCCGCAGCCATTTATGGTGGTCCCTTACCAACCTTCAGTTACCCGGGCTTTGAGCACGTAGCTCACATGGGGTTGCAACGTCGCCAAAATGGGTTGGCCTGGTAAATGGAATGGACTAAAATATGCGGTCCAATTCCTGGTGGCTTAACTTTGACCCATACCCATGGGGGGTACGACTTCCTTTCTCGCCTGGAGGCGCTGCTGCTCTCTCTCCTCTGCCTCGCGCTTCTCCTGCACTGACTATGCGTCAAATTTAAACATCACCCCCACTGAAGGAGAGGAGGTGATGTGGCTATATCTTAAAAAATGGGTACCCAAAATGGAACCCTGGTGAATGGAACCCATGACAAAAACAGGCGGTTCCCTGGATTTAATTTTGACCCACACCCATGTCTAAAATCCCCTCAAAGGGCAATATGAGGACCCACGTGCGCAAAAGACTCTGCACGCAGCCCCGGAACCTCTCTTTGGAGCCTCTTTGGAACTCTCAAGGAGCCTGCACTGGGGCGCCTCAAACACAAGATTGGCGAAGGCATGGCTGTCGCACTTGGGGAGAAAGGAGAAAGGCATCAAAGGATGGGCATGAATCGGTCCAGCCTGATTACCGGCACAGCTGTTCTAATCGAAGAAGGAATTATTGGGCTTCCATCCAATCCCAAGAGATCTCGTTGCAGCTATTGTCAATATTCTCACACAATGCATCCCCAGCGCAAAGTACATAGTCCGGAATCCAGAACCCACTTTAGCCACCCCGTTGTTCAGTACAAGTGTAGCAATTTCACGGAAATGTGCCTCAACTCCTGAAATCAAATGACAGCTTTGATGGTATGCAACTTTATGAGTCAGGATCCCTTACACATGTGCGCAAGCTGGCAGAACTTTCGCATGCGGCACTTTCGCTTGTTTGGTTCTACTCGGCCCATGATGCCCATGCCTAGAAAGGCCCAACACAAATCCTTGCCGCGTTAAATCCACGGAGCCGTCACCTCGCGCCTTAGATTATTATTATCATGGAAGAGCTTTGTGAGCCACACACACACACAAGAAAGAAACAAAGGCATACGCGCTCATGCACGCAAGCACTTGCGCACGCGCACGCACGCACTTGCGCACACGTACACACACTCACACGTACACACACTCACACACACACACACTCACACACTCACACACACTCACACACACAAAAAAAAGAGTCAAACAAAACACAGCCAGTTGACTGATTTTACACAAGACTGCCATTTGTCATGGACATTCACCTTGCCATTTGCAGGGCTTTGGTGGAGCTTTGGGAACGGATCTGCACCACGGACCCCCCCTCCTCCTCTGCTGCCTTCCAGCGTCCGGTCATCTCTTTGTGCTTGGTGTCAAAGTACCTGGGGGGTGGGGTTTTCTCGGGGTACTCGCAAGCATCTGCTTGCTTCTTCCCTCTTCTTGAAAGGGCCAGGGGCTTGTCACCGAGTGGAGTGAGCTGGGCCAAACATGTTGTAAGGCCAAGTTCCCACGAGCTCAACGTGGACAAGTGGTGGGCAGCATCGCAGGAAAGCACAAAGCACAAGACACGTGCAAGTCGGTCTGCGGGGCGGGCTTTGCAATAGTCTGCTCTGACAGCGGATTCACCTTTTCCACCTGGCAAGAGACACAAGCCGACCTGCAACGCGAACTAAAGGCATGCTGCCCCAACTATTTGTATGGAGAGGCTAAGAATGTACAATCCGATCGGCATGTTATGGGAGAAAGAAAGCAATCACACTCAACAACCATGACATAGGTGACTCTTCAAGGGACCACTTTGCTAGTTGTATCATTGTGATTCGACATGAGCAGCACGTTATGGACAGCACCGCAGTTCATGTCAATCCGGCACGACAGTCCAACAAGCGCTGGCCTGTCTGCCCCAAGCCACGAATAGGTCTGTCAATACCTCCTCCTTGGTCTCCTGCGTTCAGCACACATAGCGCCAACACACGGACTCAGGTCCGACCAGGTCCTTGTTGGTGTGCGGCTTGATCTGAACCCGAATGCCATTGATCATGCACTCGTTCCCTTCCTCCACAATAGCCTGACAAGGCCAATGGAGGGCCAACTGGCGCTCGGCTATGGGAGCCGCCGGCCGGCCCTGGACCAGCCCGAAACCAACCCTGAGCCAGCCTTTAACAGGCCTACACTGGCGAATAGATCTCAACTCAGGCGCCAGAGGCACGGGGAGCCACTCTCACTCACCAAACAACCGCCAATTTTTGGGATGGCATGAAAAGAAACAAGTTAAAAACGAGGGATGCTCAGTTCTGACACATTTGAGCCGCAGTTAGTCTTCATTGTGACCAATACTGACATTGGATTTTGGATAATGACCTCCACTTCCTCACTGCTCCTGCCTTGACTACAGGTGAGGCTGAATGTTGACAGTTGCTCACATGTGCTATGGTCACAGCACCTTCCCTGAGGAGTCCTTTTCACGCTCCAAACTCTGCGGTTCAGGGGTCCATGATCCTCCCTACCAACCCCAAGCAACACGGTGCTTTCACCAATTCACATGGGTGTTGCCAAGAATGTGGACCCTTTTTGCAGGCCGCAACTTGTGCGCCTAAAGCGGACGACTTGAGTTCCCAACCAGGATTCCAGAAGCCTTCCATTTGAGCTCCCAACCAGGATTCCGACCAAGCTTCACATTCCACCAGCCCCCGTGGCACCGTGGCACAGCACCGGGGTTTCCGATTTTTCCGGGAGCACAGCGCCTGTCTCACCCGGAGATCTACCATGGACACCACCGCGCAGCCCATGGAGCTGTGCTTTCGGACGGTGACCACTTCCCCCACCTGCGCCAAGAGCCAGGGGCGAACTCCCCAAAGGCTGCCGATCTCAGCTTTGATTCAGATGCCAGAGCCCTGCGCGTCAAGATGGGGGTTGAGATCTGTTTTTTGTTTAGGACCCCTAAATTTGACCCTGGGGCAATACTTTCCCCTGGAAGTATCGTAATATTTAGTGGGTTTCCCCCCATGGTAAACCTATGTATAGGACCTTTTGATCAACCCCTGTATGTCCGGATCCCAATGAAGCAGGACAACTAAATGCCTCCAGTTCTACATTCATCCGTCAAGGAACAGATGCTCACATTATGTGGTCAGTGAGCACAGGCCTGCTCGACCGCTTGCCGGCGTGGGTCATCGGAGCGATCTATTCGTTCTAGCCGCTCCTGGGCCGGTCACCCCTGCACGGGCTTGGCGCACAAGGACCCAGAATGCAGGGTTTGGCCGCCTGGCCTCTGTTTCCAAATCTGAGTATTTCAGTATCCAACACTTGCTGAATGTACAAAAGCTATCACACGCATCTTCCAAGTCGGCGAGCTGTTTACTTCCGACAAAGAGTCATGGACCATGAAACAAACATGCGAACATGCTGCGCCAAGTCAATTTTTGAAATCAGCATCTTCTGACGTCTCCTTCTCCGTCTCGCCTTTTTCCCGATCTCCTAGTGCTTGCACTTGCTCTCACGCACTTCAGCGAACAGCACATGCCATGTTGCCAGCCCGCCGCCAGCTCGCACACACTGCGGGTCCGGCCTTTGCCTTTCTTTCCCTTGCCTTTGCCTGTGGAAGGCGCGGCCGGCAAGCACGAAGTCTTCCTTTGCCGTCTTCATTGCCCTCTCACACTTTGCAACTAGCTCAACAAATCAGCCCCTGAGTCACGTGAGGAATCGTTCCAAAGCCCACTCGCCACTCCAAACCTCAAAGCCTTTCTCTCACCCATGTTTTCACCCAGGCCATTCCCGCGCCCCAAATTCTTCAACTGGCTGGGCCTTTCTCTCCACCTCGCTCTGCCCTTTCGGCAGGCGCCGAGCTGGAAGAGGCCTCAGGGGCTCTGGCTTTCAAGGTGCCATCCATCCACACATCTTCTTGCTCAATGTGTTGACCTGACTCCTCACTCATGGCCAGAAAGCCTCTTACTGACATGTCTTGGTTGAGTTTCCAATCACCTGCCGCACGTAGTGGCGCTGGATTGCTTTCCGCACGTTCGGGCGCCGCACTGCAACAGGCTGGGTCAAGGCCGAAAGATCCTGGGCCAAAGGCAATGGCTTGCGAAGAACCCCCTCCCCGCTGCAGCTCTGGAAGGCAGCCAATGGCTGTAACACGGCTGAATGCGCACAAATTTGATGAAGGTTCATAATACCGCAGACTCCACCAGAAGCCGCAAAAAAAATCAGTTTCCAGCTGGGCGCAGGTGCTACTAGGTTAGTGCTCATGTTGCAGGACAAAACCTTTTGCGTATGTTGCTGACATCGAAGGAATGACCTTGTGAAGTTGCCGCACCTTCCACAAAATGTAAGCTGCACGTGATGAAACTAGCGAGGGTATTTCAAAACCATCTCGAGAGCAACCTTGCCTACTCCTGCCTATAAGTTTCGCCGAACACCACAAGAATGCACTGTACCTGCCAAAAACTCCGGTCAGCTCATTAAAACAAGTCCAAAACTCAAGTTACATGACAGGGAGTATGCCTGAAAGCCATAACCGGTTGGCACCTGGTCTTAAAATTTACTGTGGTAATCCCAACTGTCATGGCGATTAGAATGCAACCTAAAGTCACGCGGAGACAAATCGGAACATTACGCAAATAGCGCAAGGCACCGACTGCACATTGCGCCTTGCGGCTCATGTCAAAAACAATTATATCAGGTTTACTCAAAGCATAGCGCAAGGCACCTGCAACTATCGCAAGTAAGATGCTGCGTCTGGCATGCGCCTAAGATACAGTGGGCAATGACCGGCTCAAGACCGATGCACGGAGAGCGCGAGAGCTACGCTGCAAAGATGCCCAGTGCATTCTACGCACTTGCCAGCCTTTGAGACACTTGCCCATGGGTCAAAAGCCAAATTGTACCCCCAGTACTAACTAAAATGGGTTGTGAATTCACCTACCCCAAAATGGGATCCCAAAACGGCTTTGACAACCACAGCCACTTCTGGAGTTGCTATCGACGCCCTCCTGCTGCGGGGCTGGTGGGAGGTCCAGAGGCTTTGCCGCCGGCGGCATGGTTGGCGCCTGGGCATTGCCGCCACTTCAAGCGCAGTCTGCTTCATGCCCCCGGAATTCGCGGGAAATTCCGTTCGCTCTGGAAAACTTGATGGCCATAAGATTGCAAGATTGCAAGTAGATGATGGTCCAAGCTGGGTTTTTTTCCTCGCAAACTGTATCAAACATAGATATCTTCGCCAACAGTGTTCTTGTCATGCACCGGATGTCGAATCTGGCAGCTGCAAACCCGGCAGAGACTGAGCTGCAGGCGGCTATCTGGGGAGCCATAGTAGGAGCCTCACATTGTGCTGAACATGGCCCCTCCCTCCCTCCCTCCCTCCCTCCCTCCCTCCCTCCCTCCCTCCCTCCCTCCCTCCCTCCCTCCCTCCCTCCCTCCCTCCCTCCCTCCCCCTCCCTCCCTCCCTCCCTCCCCCACTCACTGATTAACTAAGCAGCTAAGTGACAAAACCAACTAAACTAATTAAACCAACTATGCGAACTAAACAAAATTACTCTTGACTCATCTAGCGGACAAGGCAAGCCAGCCAGCCAGCCAGCCAGCCAGCAAGCAAGCAAGCAAATTAGACAATAACAAGCTATCTATCAAGCTATCCAACAATCCAAGTACCCAATTGTCTAATTGTCTATCTATCTATCTATCTATCAAGCTATCCAACTATCTAGCTACCCAACTATCTAACTATCTATCTACCTGTCTGACTATCTATCCAAGTAACTGATCAACGCCCGCGCACGCACTCACACACACACACACACATGTGTACATGCCTGATACATGTGCAGCACATAAATACATGTCAATCCAAAACAAAAAAAAAATGGCGTTTGTTGGCCAAATTTCTGTGCATCACAAAAGGTGGTGGATTGCCGTCCGAAAATCCTTGCTCCACTCTTTGTCAAGGTTTCCTCCCCTCTGCTCCGCTCAGGCATGGGCCGGTGCTGGGACCGCAAGGTGATCTCGCCTTAGCGTGACACTCCGGTGATGACAGGTTGGCCCAGGTAAAGGGGGGGGGCCCTACCCTTGGGGGGGGGGGGGGAGCGGGGGGGGGGGTTGGTGGCCTGGGGACTGGAACATATATACATATATATATATACATACCTTTATACCGGCAAAAAAATGCAGGGCGTTATTCACATGTATGCACACTTGCT